GATGGTTTTCAAAGCTGCTTTCCCCCTCCTCGCAAATGCACAGAAATAAATCAAATCCCCCAGTGGAAATTTGGGGAGGTTGGACCAACGCGGGTTATTTATTCTGCACCCAATACTTAGGATTGCAGCGATATTTCTGCATGTCTATCGCTGGATTGAAATCATATTTTCTATCAAGGTTGAGAACCACGGAATAAAAAGGGGGGGGGAAAGAATTCAGCAAGGTAACCAAAATCAGAAGGAGCAATTTGCAACAGCTTCCATCTGATCTAAAAAAGTCGGCCCTTATTTAAGAAGTCAAGTAAGAGCGAACATCTTAAAGCTTTGCGTTAAAAGAAATGCAAATGGTGCATATTGGAGCATGACGTGCATTTATATGCAAATATAGCGCAAGATCGTTTTTTACCCCACAACAACCTTGTGAGGTAGGCTGGGCTAAGAGGAAGGGAGCCTGCATGGCTGGGGGCGGGGGGGACTAGAATCTTATATCTAAGATTATATCTTCCATCTAAGATTGTATCTCATACCTCAGCCCTGCAATGCTGGGTTTTCTGCTGCAAATCAGAAATTCTAGGATTTGAAAATCCAGCTGCCCTGAAAAATGCTGGCCAGGGATGACCAGTAGGTGGCGTGTCAGCACTGCAAAATATAAACGAGACTAACATTAAACCACCATTCAGCAGATTACATAGCTGGGCTCCGGAATTTGGACCCCGGCGAAGGAAAAATCTTAATTTCTAAAATAACAAGCCAAGCCAAGCGGGAAATTGTGCTTCGTCCCGCCTCATTTCTCAGATGGGAAGGGGGTTTTCCTGGGAAGGGGGCCCACTCTGTATGTGCTCAGGAGCACTCTTGCGCTTCGTTTTTCTCCTTCCCTCCCTCGTCTTCCTCTCGAGGCATATAAAATTATTTCGCCCAAAGGCAACGTTTATGGAATAAGACGTCATAACCCCACAGGAAGGGTGACCTCATTGAAGTGCGGGGAATTGATGGGCCCTTGAGGGATGTGCCTGATGGGAACTGTAATTGAAGACAGCTGGCAGGGACTCAGCCCCCCCTGGAAGATCTCCTTTCGAGCTCACCCCCAGCAGCAATGAACTTTCTCCAGCGAAGGGCGTGGATTTGTACACAGTCCAAGGCTTTGGGGGAACACACCATACACTTAATCCTCTCTGTCTACCACCAGGGTCAGCCCCTGACCAAACTCTCCCGGCGTGCTTCAAGCTGCAGAGGACACAGGCCGCGCTCAACCGGCGAAGTCCTCTGCCTTTCCTGCCTAGCTGGGAAAACTGGGGGATGATTTTTCTCTTTTTTTTTTGCAAAATTCCACATTTTTTGGAGAGGGGGCCTGAACGTCCCCATTTCAGGGTTCGGAGAGTCATGTCCTTTACGGGGAGAGGGAACTGCTTTGGACCCCCTTCTTTGCTGTAGAGTCCAGGTCTTGGGCACAGCCCAGCTAGATGCCCTGTTGGGGAGGGGATTAAAATGGGGGGGGGGGGGGTTGGATGCTATCTTTGCGAGGTCGATCACCCCTTGGTGCCCTTTTCTCAGCACAAAGGGGAGCCCCCAAGCTTGGGACTCACCCAGGAGATCTCCAGGCGCGAGGCCAACTCTGACAAGCAGGACGACGATGATGATGATTTTTTTTTTCATTCTCCCCCACCCCCCGCTTCCCAGGTGCGGATCTGATTTAAAAAACCACAAAACCACTCATCCCCTTTCTGACACTCTTCAAGCTGGGAATGTTCCCCCCTCCCAGCCTTCTCCACTATTCGACAGTCAGGTATACAGCCTCTGACCAGGGAGGCTCTATTTCGCAAGCCCATTTTCGGCACGAATTGCCCCTCGATGCTTCGAGTCTTCTTTGGGGGGGGGGTTCCAGGGCACAGGGGACGCCTCCCATGCTTTTTCCTCCCCCCCCCATCCGTTAACCTCAGTTTCCTTGCATGGATCCCTGAGTCTAATAAAAGAATCTGTGAAATGTTTAACTTTCAAATACAATTTGGGGGGCGGCGCTTGGGTTTCTGCATTTGCAACCCGGCCCACCGTGATGCGAAAAGGATCTGTGTTTCCTTGAGAAGTCATAGATTTCTTCCCCTTCTTCTTGTTTGATGTTTTCATACGTTTCACTCCCCAAAGGGTGTGGGCTGATCTGGACTTGATAAAGAACAAGGAAGTCCTTGAAAAGTTTGTTCGGTGGGAAAGATTAAGGGCTCTTTTGCATTTCTTGGACTCGTACCCATAGCCCCTCATGTATGTTTGCAGAACTATCTATATATCGTTCCGCAAACATTGCTGACAACTTTTAAAATGCGTATAAACGGTGCAGGGAGCATCTTATTATATTTTATTTTTAGAATCTGGGGCCTCTGATTTAAGGGAGCGGCTCGGGCACAATACGTTCAACTCGCTATGCCACCCTCAGCTTAACCGAGGTTGACCCCCAACCAGGTTTACCATCCTGGGCCAAGGCAGCCGCTTCGCTGGCTCGGCTAAGGAGGTGATGCAGAAACAGCCCAAATGTCTCAAGGGCTGGAGAAATCGGTTTCTATTTCCATTCGGCACCCCCCCATTTTTCTCCTATTCCATTTACAAGTCCATTCTGCATCTCGAAACTCTTTTTCCGAGTAGATATTTTAAAGGTTCACTTTCTCTCTCCCCAACAAAATTTGGAATA